GGGCACGTGCGTCCCCCGGCTCTAACCTGCGCGCTGACGGGAGCATGATCTGTGCCCAGGCCAGGGCTGTCAAGGTAAGCGGGCGCCGCGCGGGGACACTGCCGCCCCTTCCCCCGCCCTTCTCTGGGCGGCTTCCCCGCCGCTCGCGAGGCCCCGGCAGCGCCCTCCCTCCCCAGGGCCGGGATCCACCCTCCTGCCCACCCTCTCGCCTCTCCCGCGAGCTTCAATTGTCAGCCTGGGACGCGCCGCTGCCCGGGTCCGGCCGGCATCCCCGGTAGCGACCCCGGCTTGGGTATCGCCGGCGCGCCCGGCCCTTCTGCGGGGCATGGAAAGAAACAAAGAAGCCCCCAAGCGGTTCGCAGCGCCTCCCCCGCCCCTCGGCGCCCTCCCAGTGGTGAGGAGGTGTCAGGGGAGGGGGCGGAGAGACCTACGTAATCCCCCGTCCCAGCCCACGCCCACCCCTTGTGAACCACAGCTCCCTCTCCGCGCTTCGCCCCGGGCTCGCTTTTGGACAATTGCGTCCCGGGCCATGCCCGGGTTAGCCCCGCGAGCGCCCGCAGCCTCCGCACGAGCCCGCCGGCGCTCGCCAGGGGCGCGGGGCCAGGTCCGGCCCCGGCTCCCCTAGGTGGCGGCGGACGGGGAGGATGCGCGTGTGGGTGCTCCGGCAGCGCCACCCTGCTCCCCGCCGGCTGCGCCTCTCAGCTGGGCCTGCCACCTGAGTTTTAGCGGGAGCAGCCCGTCATGTCGCCTACCGTATTGCGACTTGCAGACAGGCGGGGAGGGAGCCGCTGGCGGGGGAAAAAACCGCGTCCGGTCCGTTTTTGGCTGGAGGGGCGCTCCTCCGACCCCAACACTCAGGGGCGGTGACGATGCAGCAAAATCCGAGGGCTCACACAATGTGGCCCCTCCGGCCACCCCTCCCCCCGCGCCAGGGCATTCTGCTTGCTCGGCTGCGTTGACGTCCCGGCCACCTGGCTGATTTTCGGAGCGCGGGTGCGTGGTCTCTCCGCCTTGCACTCAGAGGCTGGGCACCATAACTTCTTCGCTGCCGAATTTCAGCGCGTGGGGGTGGGGGGGAGCTGGCAGGGACACAGGCTGCAGAGATGCCCAGCTTCCTGTGGTTCCGGGCACAGCGCGCCTCAGTCTGCATTGGGCTGACACCAGAGAGCATATGGGGATTTTCCTAGTTGCCGAAGATGTGATTTGACGTTGCTGTAGTTTTGTGCTTACTTCTCTCAGATCTGCAGTGGTGCGATTCTCCCCTTGTTTTCCCCCCACCTCTCTGAAAAGATAACAGAGCTGTGTTCAGCAGAAATGAACACAGGAAGAGCAGCATAGTTCAAAAATTAAGGGAGGCATCTTCTCTCTTCTCCTGGGATTTAAACGCGATTTAGGAGGGCAGATGCCCTATCCGAAAAGGCCAGCCTTTAAAGACCCCGGCAGTGTTGTGGTCCAAGGCGTCTCAAAGCAGGTGGCCAGATCTGCGTTTCTCATCAGCGGACTCGCTCCGGCTGTGGCTATTACGGTAATTCATTCTAGATTGGGGATTCATTTTGAAAATGTGTGTTTTCCACTAAGAAGGGATTAGAGTCCACATGCCTACCCTGGTATGAGTGTGTGTGCCTGTTTGGTGGAGAAAGGGATTGGGGTAGGATTCCCTGTTGCCTGTTCCCTCTGTTTGCTACCTCCTCTGGAATGTGGCACTGGAAAAACAAGGCGCTGTTTTAATCCCTAAACCTACAGGCAACTTGGACGTTACTGTATTCTCATTAATAATCCATGTTCTGACTAATGCCACACTGTAATCGCACTCTAGTGCCGTTGGCTGCGTTGCGGAATGACAGTTCTCTTTTTGTCTGGGGTAGTTTTCCCGTGAAGGTAGATTGCCTAAGTTTGTTCAGATTGTGGCATTACTGATTTGGTAGGGAGGCCACATCCTGGGCTCTGGAACAGCCTGTCAATGCATCAGTGTGGAGGGACTGCAGCTGCTGTTGTATGTGTGGGTAACATCATTTGACTTGCTTCCTTCTACATGTCTTGTTTTTAAAGATGGATGTGTCAAAAGGTCACTTTAATCTTTACCTTCTATGATGCTTGCATCAGATATGACTAACTCACAAAGGGTCAGATGTGATTATGGAAAGACAAGCCTCAGTCTCATTCCTTATCAGTCAAGCGAGTTGGACTAGCTGATTTCTGTGGTTCTTTCTAGTTCAGCATTCTGTGATAACTCATAGAGGAATAAGAAAAGTTATTCAGTTTAGGAAAGACAAATAATTACAGCCCAAGCCCTATAAGAAAACCAAGGACTGATTATTGAATTTTGGGGGTTTTTTTATTCACAGCTTTTTTATCTTCAGTATCTGCATTTTCCCCACAAGTGAAATTACACAACAACTCAAACAGGTCATTTTTTGTCCACTATAACAAAACATTTGGGGACGGGGCAGAGAAAAATGTTGAATTAATTGGAAAATGGGTTATATCCTTATTTGTTAATTTAGTTATTGATTCCTACCCTGTCAGGGATAATCTAGAATTAGCTTATTTCCACTAATTGATTTATTTGTTTCTAATGAAAGACCCTAGATAGCTGTTTCATCCTATGCAGTGATTGACAATAACATCAGCACTTACTTTCCCTGATATAATTTGATATTGCTCATAAAACTTGCTAGCATTGAGCCTTCTTATAAAAATGAGTGAAGCAATGATTGTTGTAAACAGGCAAGCAACATGTTTTTATGTGCTTATAGTAGTTTTTATAATTTGGGTATAGTCCAGGTATCTCATTGTAGATTCACGCTTAACCACACAAATTCCCATAGTTGCTCACTCATGTTTTTAAAGTTATAATACAAATAACTCCTGGACTAACAGGTCCCTGCAAGGCATAATTAACCACTTCTCCTGTTGTTCCATAGCCTTTTTATTCATACAGCTACGGTAGCACTTATATTGCAGTCACTTGGGTTGTAAATGTGCCACAACCTCCTAGTCTTAAATATGAGATGAACTTCTTTAGGACAAGGACATTATTATATTCGTCTTTCTTCTCTCCAGCACCTAGTACTTTGCCTTGTACATGATATGTTCTCAGGAATGCTTATTGAGTGGATCTCAGGTCATAAAAATGCCCTCTAATTGTATAGGCAGGAGGTAGGTAGAAATCTTTTGCTTTGTGAGTCAGCTGGGGAAATTGGAGAGGTTATGTAAGATGCTTAAGGGAAGTTGTGAGCCAGGACTCAAATCCAGGCCTTCCACCACACTACCTCTGAGACTCTGAGAGAGGTGCCACCCATCCTCAATAAAACAACAACAACAAAACAAACTATGTAGAGAGCAAGCTCAAATGCTATAGGTTTGGGTTAGTTATTGTTTCACTTGAATGATCTGGATTGTCTATCTTGACAGAGTGTTTCTGATCATTGCTCTGTTTTGTCTTGCTGTGGCCTTTGAAAGAAACTTGTTTGGCCCAAGCGTTCTGTCCTCCAATCTTCATTTAAACAGAAAGAGGGAGTACCTTGCTGCCCACCTTCTCTCCATGTCTTGATTCTACCACCCAGAGCTTGTTAGAATGATGGACATGTCTAGGGAATGCCACTGACCGACCCCATTATTTGTTCAACTCACAAGTAACCACCATAAGTGGTGCTTCTGAAATGACCTCGCAGTTAGACCAGTCAGGCCTGTCCTTCCTTGATTGAGTTTCCCCTGACAAGCAGATTCCTAGAGTAACACGTGTGGCTTGCAGACACTGAGACGCCTGCTTCTCCCTCATTTACCTGCTTCCGTTTCCATTCTCATGAAGCAGGACAGATTCCATTAGGAAACCACAAAATTCAATACCCACGTTCCTTTTCTGCAATACTTCCCCAGGCATGTTTGAGGTTCACGGACTTTTCGAGAAAACGGTGGGAAATGTTCTGTGGGGCTGTCTTCAAGTCACTTCTCCTTGGAATTTAGTTTCTTCTTCTTTACAAGCAGGAAGTTGAACCACGTAATCACAAAGGTTACTTCTAGCACCATGGTTCTGTGATTATTTTTTGTGGGTTTATTCAATGAAGCAAGTTGGAGAGTGAAAAACATCTGTGATAATTTAACTTTGCAATATAGATAGTGGAAATACCTAAGGCTATGTATGTCAGCTAAGTGTGTGGATTATCTAATAGCCACTTTGAGCACTTTGTTGACACTATTTTGTCTGCAGTTAAATTTCGATGGTAATTTTTTTCTTGTTTGTAAAACTAAATTTGCTATATTAAAGGAAAAAATGTGTGGCATCTCTTGTTCCCCATGAGGAGTGCAGTGGCCCAGAAGTGTGCAATCTGCAAAATGTACACAATGTTTAGAATTTAGTGTCAATAGTCAAGGTTCCAAGACCTATAGTAAAGGATTTTTATTCTCACCATTGAGTATGTTTCACAGCTGAATAACTCTTACAGTCAAAAATATTCCTTGTGAATCATCCAACAATTTCCCCTTTCAATTTCTCTCAAGTTCCCAATTTTGTTCCTCCTCCCCCCACTTCTTTAGCTTCCTCCAGCTTCTTGTAACATCCCCATATATGTAAAACATATGCCAGTAGTACACTACTACCCCTCACCCCACCACCAAGGAAGGAGTCAGAGTCTCACAACCTTCTTACACAACTCAAACTTTTCTACTTTCCCAGTTTTTTTCAGTAGCATTGTTTTCCAAGTTAAGATACTATATGGCATAGAGGCAGATCAAGTCTTCTTATGACTTTATTTATAGTATATGTGTATTTCTTCAGACTTTCTGACCACCATTTGGAGCCTAAATACCATGCATTTAGGTATTTAAAGCCTCTTTAAATATTTTAGGAATCAAAGTCTCTTTAAATATTTTAGGGAACAAAGCAGCACATTAGTTATTTTGTACCCCATCACATAGTGTTTGAAGGTGGGGATATTGGCAAGTGGTTGTCCCGTTCTGCACGGTGAGGGAAATGATAAATAGTCTGTGCAGGATGACAGGATGACAGCGATGCCATTACTTTTTGGCAAAATATCGCAAAGACCACTGAGCTCCCAGGTCATCTGGATTCCCA